TGAAGAGGGAGCAGCGTCTGCAGTCAGAGCTCTATCAGACTGTTGTGATGAAGAAGGAGCAGCGTCTGCAGTCAGAGCTCTATCAGACTGTTGTGATGAAGAGGGAGCAGCGTCTGCAGTCAGAGCTCTATCAGACTGTTGTGATGAAGAGGGAGCAGCGTCTGCAGTCAGAGCTCTATCAGACTGTTGTGATGAAGAGGGAGCAGCATCTGTAGTCAGAGCTCTATCAGACTGTTGTGATGAAGAGGGAGCAGCATCTGTAGTCAGAGCTCTATCAGACTGTTGTGATGAAGAGGGAGCAGCATCTGTAGTCAGAGCTCTATCAGACTGTTGTGATGAAGAGGGAGCAGCGTCTGCAGTCAGAGCTCTATCCCCCTCTAAAGGACGAGATGACAAATACAATCAGTCCACATGAGTTTCCTTCAGAGTAGCTGCTCCTTTAGAGCTTGGAGTAGAGCCGCTGCTCTTCCATGAGGGGAGGAGCCAGTGGAGGTCATCTGTTCTGGATGCCTCCTGGAGCCTCCCTGAGGAGGTGTTCTGGGCATGTCCCACAGGAGGAGACCAGACCAGACCCAGGACTCAGAGGGACTGTGTCTCTGCTGAACGCCTCAGGATTCCCCCAGATGAGCTGAAGATTTGCTCCAACTCCAGAACCGTTTGTGTCACACTGTTTAGGGCTTAGAGAGACCAGAGAGAGACCAGAGAGAGACCAGAGATAAGTTGGAGGAAGTGTGTGTGGAGAGGGAAGTCTGGGGCGTCTCTGCTCAGACTGCTGTCCTTCAAACCCGGCAGTGGATAAAGCGGAAGAACATGTATAGACGTCATGACAAAGTGAATAAAATTGTGATAACAATCATGTTTTTAACGTGGTCTTCGGACGACAGACACAAAGCCCAGTCTCTGTTTGTTGCTCTCTTCCAGACTGCAGTAATGTCCTCACTTCCAACCCCTGGAGTCCAACAGTGACTCATGTGTTTTTCATGAGGCTAAAGTTAGGTACCCCAGCTTTAAAGCACACAGGCCTGGTCTCTGTGTTCTCCCTGCGTTTGCACAGATGGATGTAAACCTGGTCCCTCTCCGCTCTGCAAACTCTGCTCCTCTCCTGTTTCCATAGCAGCAGCTGGAGCCGGGGCCTATCGCTGCCGCACTTCCTGCTCGCCTCTGATTGGCCGGCTGCACTTCCTGGTCGGTCGTGCAGTGACTGGTTAAAGTCACGTCACTCACAAAAAAGGATGTGGATTTAAGGAGTGATCAGAGCGAGAGAGAGAGACCAGAGAGAGAGACCAGAGAGAGAGAGACATCAGAGAGAGACTAGAGAGAGAGACCAGAGAGAGAGTGAGACAACAGAGAGAGACTAGAGAGAGAGACCAGAGAGAGAGAGAGACATCAGAGAGAGACTAGAGAGAGAGACCAGAGAGAGAGAGAGACAACAGAAAGAGACTAGAGAGAGAGACCAGAGAGAGAGAGAGACATCAGAGAGAGACTAGAGAGAGAGACCAGAGAGAGAGAGAGACATCAGAGAGAGAGTGAGACCTGAGATAGAGAAAGACAGACCTCAGAAAGACCAGAGAGAGAGAGAGAGAGAGAGAGAGAGAGAGTCCAGAAAGAGACCAGAAAGAGACCAGAGAGAGATCAGAGAGACCAGAGAGAGACCAGAGAGAGACCAGAGAGAGACCAGAGAGAGACCAGAGAGAGAGACCAGAGAGAGACTAGAGAGAGACCAGAGAGAGACCAGAGAGAGACTAGAGAGAGACCAGAGAGAGACCAGAGAGAGAGACCAGAGAGAGACCAGAGAGAGAGACCAGAGAGAGAGACCAGAGAGAGACCAGAGAGAGACCAGCGAGAGACCAGAGAGAGACCAGAGAGAGAGACCAGAGAGAGACTAGAGAGAGACCAGAGAGAGACCAGAGAGAGACCTTAGAGAGAGACCAGAGAGAGACCAGAGAGAGCGACCAGAGAGAGACCAGAGAGAGACCAGAGAGAGACCAGAGAGAGACCTTAGAGAGAGACCAGAGAGAGACCAGAGAGAGACCAGAGAGAGACCAGAGAGAGACCAGAGAGAGAGACCAGAGAGAGACCAGAGAGAGAGACCAGAGAGAGAGACCAGAGAGAGAGAGACATCAGAGAGAGACTAGAGAGAGAGACCAGAGAGAGAGTGAGACAACAGAGAGAGACTAGAGAGAGAGACCAGAGAGAGAGAGAGACATCAGAGAGAGACTAGAGAGAGAGACCAGAGAGAGAGAGAGACAACAGAAAGAGACTAGAGAGAGAGACCAGAGAGAGAGAGAGACATCAGAGAGAGACTAGAGAGAGAGACCAGAGAGAGAGAGAGACATCAGAGAGAGAGTGAGACCTGAGATAGAGAAAGACAGACCTCAGAAAGACCAGAGAGAGAGAGAGAGAGAGAGAGAGAGAGAGTCCAGAAAGAGACCAGAAAGAGACCAGAGAGAGATCAGAGAGACCAGAGAGAGACCAGAGAGAGACCAGAGAGAGACCAGAGAGAGACCAGAGAGAGAGACCAGAGAGAGACTAGAGAGAGACCAGAGAGAGACCAGAGAGAGACTAGAGAGAGACCAGAGAGAGACCAGAGAGAGAGACCAGAGAGAGACCAGAGAGAGAGACCAGAGAGAGAGACCAGAGAGAGACCAGAGAGAGACCAGCGAGAGACCAGAGAGAGACCAGAGAGAGAGACCAGAGAGAGACTAGAGAGAGACCAGAGAGAGACCAGAGAGAGACCTTAGAGAGAGACCAGAGAGAGACCAGAGAGAGCGACCAGAGAGAGACCAGAGAGAGACCAGAGAGAGACCAGAGAGAGACCTTAGAGAGAGACCAGAGAGAGACCAGAGAGAGACCAGAGAGAGACCAGAGAGAGACCAGAGAGAGAGACCAGAGAGAGACCAGAGAGAGAGACCAGAGAGAGAGACCAGAGAGAGACCAGAGAGAGACCAGCGAGAGACCAGAGAGAGGCCTTAGAGAGAGACCAGAGAGAGACCAGAGAGAGAGACCAGAGAGAGACCAGAGAGAGAGACCAGAGAGAGAGACCAGAGAGAGACCAGAGAGAGAGACCAGAGAGAGACCAGCGAGAGACCAGAGAGAGGCCTTAGAGAGAGGCCTTAGAGAGACCAGACATTTACGTCTAAATCACAGTGATATAAAAATACCAGTGCCCTCTCTGAATCACTTGAGTCTTGCTTTTGTTTTGTCGTTCTTCTCATCTCTCGTATGTCAGACGCTGCTCCTTCCTGGAGAAGTTATTTTTAGTCTGAGCTGAGTGCAGCATCAGCAGAGAGCGCTCAGAATACAGAACATATACAACCACACACACTATTATACTTTTAGATAAGACTGTAGAATGTAAACAGGTCAAAAATGGTTTCAGAAAAAATACCCTGATTTTAGCTCATTTTGACCATTTTAGCATTTTTTTTTTAACCAAGGTCACGTTTCAGAAGAGACAGGAATATTCAAGAGAAATATCCTTGGAATCCTCAATGGTCTCGCTCTGGTCTCTCTCTTTTACCGCTCTCTGATGGTCTTTCTCATTACCCAGGCGACAGTAGCTCAGTTGGTAGAGCCTTTGAGCCTGAAGGTTGTGGGTTCGAGCCCGACCTTCACCATCGACTCCCACTGATGTCTGCTGCTGTTGTGTCCTTAGGCAAGACACTTCACCCCCATTGCCTAGAATGAGTCTGGTGTGTGTGTGAATGGTTGGTGGTGGTGGGAGGGGCTGATGGCACAGACTGGTTGCCTCGCTTCTGTCAGTGTGCCCCAGGGCAGCTGTGGCTACTGTCGTAGTTTATCACCACTGTGTCTGGAGTGAATGATTGACATGTGAAGAGACTTTGAGTGTCCATAAAAGCGCTGTATAAGACCAATGTATTATTATTATTATTATTATTATTATTATTATTATTATTATTATTATTATTACCCTTCTCTCCAGTTTCCCTCTAGTCTCTCTTTCTCGTCTTTCTGGTCTTTCTGGTCTTTTCCTGATTTCTCTAGTCTGGTCTCTCTATGAACCTCTCTCTCTGGTCTCTCTCTGGTGTCTCTCTAGTTTCTCTGATCTCTCTGGTCTGTCTCTCTCTGTTCTCTCTGGTCCCCCTGGTCTCTCCCTGGTCTTTCTCTCTGGTTTCCCTCTCTGGTCTTTCTCTCTCGCTGGTTTCTCTGGTCTCTCTGATCTCTCTCTCTCTGGTCTCTCTCTCTGGTCCCTCTGGTCTCTCTCTCTCTGGTCTCTCACTTTTGTCCTCTCTCTGTTTTCTCTGGTCCCCCTGGTCTCTCCCTGGTCTCTCTCTTTGGTTTCTCTTGCTGGTCCCCCTGGTCTCTCTCTCTCTCTGGTCCCCCTGGTCTCTCTCTCTCTTTCTCTCTGGTCCCCCTGGTCTCTCCCTGGTCTCTCTCTTTGGTTTCTCTTGCTGGTCCCCCTGGTCTCTCTCTCTCTCTGGTCCCCCTGGTCTCTCTCTCTCTTTCTCTCTGGTCCCCCTGGTCTCTCCCTGGTCTCTCTCTTTGGTTTCTCTTGCTGGTCCCCCTGGTCTCTCTCTCTCTCTGGTCCCCCTGGTCTCTCTCTCTCTTTCTCTCTGGTTCCCCTGGTCTCTCCCTGGTCTCTCTCTTTGGTTTCTCTTGCTGGTCCCCCTGGTCTCTCTCTCTCTCTGGTCCCCCTGGTCTCTCTCTCTCTTTCTCTCTGGTTCCCCTGGTCTCTCCCTGGTCTCTCTCTTTGGTTTCTCTTGCTGGTCCCCCTGGTCTCTCTCTCTCTCTGGTCCCCCTGGTCTCTCTCTCTCTTTCTCTCTGGTCCCCCTGGTCTCTCTCTCTCTCTCTCTTTCTGGTTCTCCTGGTCTCTCCCTGGTCTCTCTCTCTCTCTGGTCTCTCACTTTTGTCCTCTGTCTGTTCTCTCTGGTTCCCTTGGTCTCTCCCTGGTTTCTCTCTTTGGTTTCTCTCTCTGGTCTCTCTCTCTCTCTCTCTCTGGTCTCTCTCCTTGGTTGAACTGTCCACTTCCTGTGTTCCAGTGCAGTGTCTGGAGATGACCACAAAGCGGAAGCTGATTGGTCGGCTGGTGCCATGTCGCTGTTTCCGTGGCGAGGAGGAGGTGATCTCGGTGCTGGACTACTCCCACTGCAGCCTGCAGCAGGTCCCAAAGGAGATCTTCAGCTTC